TAATTTCTTGTAGTGCTTCCTTGGATTCTGTCTTGTTTCACCTTCAATCACTGCCCTCTGCTTCTACAAAACACACTGCCTTACCAAACATTGATGGCCGATCGGCCCCCAATGAAGCTTGGTCTGGCCCAAATAAGGCCGGTCGTGCCTTAATGTTATGCAAAATCCTGTTTTTGTGCTCTGAGGTGAAAACAGTGCAGACATAATTTTTCTAAGCTCTATTTGCCCCTCTTATCCTTTTTTGTCATGGAAAGCCTCAAGGGAAGGACAAAGTCATTTCTGAAACCATCAATGAGCAATTTGCTTGCTTGATGATTTCGGCTATGATTTGGACGAAAATCAATGAATCCAATGGATAACAACCACCCCTCTCCTTTATCATGGAGTGAGCTCAAAAGGGAGGAGTAAAGACGCTTCAAGGGTCGTCAAAACACTATGGATTAACGTGTGACGACTCTTGACACAATAGACTCAGCATAACGTCCGACCGAGCCCAAGCAATATAACTCATGTTCTTTATGTTGGTTGGTTCATTTTAAGCTAAATTCATTAGTCCTTGCCATTCTTTAATCCATTTGTCTAAGGTAATGATTACGTCCACTAAATGAGAAGCATGTCAAACGGGAAGTGATTCTCAACATGAAAAAAAAGACCATGCCGTTGACGATGAACCTCTGTATAGATTAAGCCATTAAGCATAAATCTCTAGTTCATGTTTTGAATAACCATCAACCAGTTGAAACAACTCTTAAATGAAAGAAATGGATGGTAGGTTGCTTGTTAAAATGAGGCATCTTAACATGGAAATTAATTAAAGAAAAATTAGAACAACATGCAACAAGCTATGTATGCGGACCTATGATACAACAAATGAACTAATCAAGGCTTGAACCAACTAAACAACCTAGGATAGCCCTATAACAGCCCTGAATAGGTGAAAAACAGTGGCTCAAAATGTATGAAAAGAGCCCAAAAAGCTAAACAATAAACAAAGGAAATAAGACTAGTAAGCAAGAATAAGGAGGGGTGGCTAACCCCTCTACTTTTGAAATCTCAAAGCATGACTTTTAGCCTCTTTTAAACTCTGAAAATCAATTTGGAGAACAAAGAAAATGGTGTAAAACAAGGGTTTGAGCTATAGGTGAAGGTGTAAGAAAGAGTGTTAACTCTCTCTACCCTTTGGTAGCTATCCAAACCCAAGCTTAGACACTTGAAAGAGAATCAAAACAATACAAAACTTGATGGTAAATGTTAGAAATGAAAGCAAGAGAGAAAATGGTAAGCTTATACCTTTTGAAGAAGGTAAGCTCTTTGTTTTTTAATCAAATTTGGTCCAAACATACTCTTAGGCCTCGTTTGGCAAGAGGCTATTTTAGCCAATTAGCCAAAAAGTTACTAAATTAGCCAAAAAACCAACAACCCATACCAAAAAGTCAAAGATTCTCTTTTCTCTCTACTTTTTGCACATCTTTTCGTAATTACCCAAAAAGTCATCCCAAACATACAAGTTTTTTTTACCTACCTTTTTAGCCAAATAGCCAAAAAGTTACTAAATTAGCCTGTTCCCAAACGAGGCCTTAATCTTGAATTGTGATACTCAAGGTTCAACCAAGGTTCCAAGGTTCAGGTGTGAAAGTGTATATGGTATAGGTTAAAGGTGGTAAGCTTGCTCAAATATTACTTGCGCAAGAAGAAGGAGCTTTCAAGAAGGTATATAAGCTTTTAGAATTTTTTTTTCAACCCTCAAAACAGAGGTATAACCTCATTTTTATAGAATTTGAGCAAAACAAGTCGAAAATATCTTCAAAAAAAGACAGCTGGCGGGCTCTCGCCCAGAACAATGTATATCGCCATTGAGCCACGGTCGAGCCCAGATAGACACGGCCGTCTCCCAATGGGGCACGGCCAGGCCCTAATGTGCTGCCCCACTCCACTATTTCAAACCCAGTATAAGGTGGCACAATGGTAAAAAATGAACCTCTGAGGTAAGAATGAGACAAGTAGGAAAGTTTTGGGATTATTTCGGGCTCGACTTTGGATTCCCTCACTGAGAACTTGAATTACACAATGCAGTTTTCATCATCGAGTGCGCTGGACCAAGCGCCTAAGTCTTACGGGTGGTAAAAAATGAGGTGTTTACACCAGCGTTTGTTTTTTTTTAGTCCGTTGGACATGGAGTTCGACCGAACTCCTTATCCTCCATATGTGAGATTATACTATCCCAGGGGGGATGGGGGTGTAGGACAATTTTCATGGGATTATTTACTGTTGGGATTAGGTGGTGAAATGACCATTTTGACCCTTTACTATTTAATTATATATTATTTTTAGTAAAATTCAATAAAATTTAAGTCTCAATTTAAAAATAAAATAATTTTATTTAACTTTTTATTGATGTTTTATTTATTTAATTTTTTAAAATAATTGTTTATAGATATTTTATTGATGTTTTAAAATTTTGTTTATATTTTATTTAATTTCATTAGTTAAATTTTAATAGATGTTTTATTTAATTTCACTATTTAATTATTATTATTTTTTTAAATAAATTTATTTAAAATTTTAATTAAAAAAATAACATATATTTTTATTGATATTTTATTTATTTAATTTTTAAAAAATAAATTTATTAATTGTGTAAAAAATAAAATAAAATAAATTTTTATTTAATCTAGCTAAAAATAATTAAAATATTAAAGATATGTTTAATATTGCTATTGCTATTACTAAGTAAACAATTGAAAAATGGTAAAATAGTCTTTGTTCATTTATTCTTATCTAGTTCATCCAACCAAACAATGAATTGATTAAAAATAGTCATTTTCAAATATCTAATCCCATGAGAAAATAAATACGGAATACACATTCAATCCAACTAAATAGTTCGGGGGATTCACAATCCTGTGATTCAAGTCCGATGGATTTTAATCCCTTTTATTCAATTTGTCCAATAAAACACACCCTTTAAGATATTGAAGAAAGGTTTTTATCCAATTTATGTATTTGATTTATGTGATTGAGAATGTATTGTTATGCAATCATGTATGTGTATTGAAGTTGTGAAACAAGTCCTGCTAAAGGGAGACAAAGCATACCACAACCCTAATTTATGCAGACGATTTGTATTGACTAAAGATGATTCATGCTTTCAGGTTTGAATACACCGATTCTCTTGATGATGTTATCTAGGATTGTAGCCACAATACTTCACCGCAGTCCAAATCAATGATTTTTTAAAATTAACATGACAATTTCTAATTATGCAATTAGTAATAAATTTGAAACCCTAGGCTTTTCTATACTTGATCACCAATTAATTTTATTTTATAAACTTAATTGTTTTTAATTAATTTTAGGTTAAAATCAAATATTTTTTTTCGTTCAAATTAATAAAGAGTTAATTTTCAAGATTTAAACAACTTAGCGTTGTGGTCCATGTGGATTGATACTTAAATTTGTCACTATTTTACAGAATTGAAGTATAGTTTATTGTTTTTATTTTTGGTGTGCAAAACATCCTACCATAACCCTTTCTAAAATTCAATTTTTTTTTTAATCTCGTTATACACCTCATAATTCCTTCCATACCCTCATTCCCAACTTCCTAACTTTTCATTACACCTCAATTTTCAAACCTTAATTTTGCCTCACTTCCAACCATCACATCTAGGCCAAGTTTGACATGTCTTGAAAAAGACAAAAAGTCAAAAAGTCACTATCCTATTTAAGTCATATCAGCTTATTTAAGTCACATCACCTCTCTTACACATCACTTCAAATCTAACCCAAACCCAACCCATATTTCATAAAAAGTCAAAAAGTGCACTTATTTAGATCATCCCAAACAACCCCCTAGTCACTGCCCCACCGGCAACACTCTTTTCCACTGCAACCCTCTACCCCAACTTTGCCAATCCCCGTGGTACACATCCATCATCTCCAACAACCCTTCTTACTTCTCTTAGTCCTTTTTACTACCCTTCTCCAAAATGGTTGGAACCCTTATTAACCCCTATTCAATAGTCGTCCATTCATAGCCCATAACCCCAAACATGAAACGTCCCTTCCTCGTAGCTATTCTCTACCTTTCACAACCCCTTCCCTTTGCGACTATGGGTCTTCAAATCTAGGGTTATGATTTGATGAAAAAGTAGAAAAGAGAAGTTTAAACAAACAAAGCTGAACCAATGGCTTTTGTTTGGCTTCATGGTATTGATTCAATACGTGATGTTCAGATTTAGACGATCGCAACCGAACCAATGACTTTTGTTTGATTTATTTATGCAAAATTGATTAGTGTTCTTTCGGAAACCATCCATTAAATAGTTTCTTTTTCTTCTACTACTATATTTGAAACCCTAAAATTATAGGGGTGGGGTTGTAGGAGGGGAAAGGTTCTTTAGTGAAGGAAATGGGCTAAGGAGGAAGTTATTGCTGGGGGAAGTACAATGGTCGATCAGGAGAGGTGATAGTGAAGGAATTAGTGTAATAGTTTTAACATTTTTTGATAATTTTAAGTAGAGTTAAGATTAATTAAAAAAATTAAAAATAACTGGCATAAGAACATCTCTAACGTTTATTTTTTTTTTTCCATCAAATTTAAGTAAAAGCTTGATCTGGTATCGAGTGTTTTAACGGAGTTTCATTAAATCACTGATCGACCGAGAGGATATTCGGCTGATCGACCAGTTAGCGTAAATTTTTACTATAAGTTGCCAGGGGATAATTAGTCGAATATCTAACCAGTTATCTAGTGCTGCTACTCCTCTGCATATGCAACGATTATGTAGAGTATTTGGATAAAAGGTCCCATCCATTCATAATTTAATGAAAAGTTAAATATATTCTTAATTTAATACTTGATTTGATAAGGGTGTTAGTATCAAAATGGAGGCTTTTCACCAAATTTAAATTTGACGCTAAGGATGATCTTTGTAGTGCATAACAACATAAAACTCCCAAATATTGGGCCAGGCTGGGCTTTTGTTCCATGAAAGACAACGGCCCATTCCATACCTGCTCGAGTTGCTGCGAAAACGAAATCCTTGAGATACGTCACACCCAATCAATCTCTCTCTCTTTCTCTCTCTCTCTCTGTAACAACGATGGCTCAACCAGGTGAAACCCTAACATTCCCCAAGCCACCTGCACCGGCAGATCCTTACAGATCGGTGACCGGAAAGCGTCCTCGCGAAGACGGCGGCGATGCCTTGTACGGTGAATTTCGCGGCGGCGATGCTCCGTCGCCCAAGCGGCGAGTCAAGTCAGCCATGGATATTATTTTCAGGATTATCGTCCCTTCCAAGCAGATCGGCAAGGTGATCGGAAAAGTAGGGTCTCGTATACAGAAGATTCGAGAAGAGACCAAAGCCACCATCAAGATCGCCGACGCCATCTCCGTGAGTCATTTAATTAAATCTTCTTCTTCTTCTTTTTTTGTTTTTTTGTTACTTAGTTCTGCGTGTTTTTTTGCTGAGAAAATGTAGGAAAGGGGAACCTCAAAGAAGAAAGGATTGGTGGTATTAGGTTAAAGAAAACAACACAATTATCTCATGAATATGAATTTAGCCCAGATTTGACATCCTTCTATTTAGTTGTGGACATAGTGTGGTGACAGGAAAACAAAATTAGAGGAAAAAAATTGAACTTTTGATTCTTAATTCCTCTTTTTAGTGCATATAAAATGACACCATTAAAGATAAAAAGGTATAAAATACTTTCTTGTTTTATTTGTTTTCAGAATGAACGAGTTTACATAATTACTTAGTTGGTGAAGCAGTTTTTTTCTTATTTATTTTTATATTGGGTATTAAATGATATTGATATTGTTTAAGTATAGGGCTCTAGAGAGTTAATGTGAGGAGTTCTATTCTATAATAAAAAGGAGTATTAATTAGACATATTGACGCAGTTGAAGACATTTACGAGGGAGCTAAGATTAGTGTGTGACTAACAAATATTGTTTGATTCCAGTCAGTAGTCAGTTGGTTCTCAAGCATGTATGTATATCATATATTTTGCCAATCTAGAAGATAGGTGACGTTATCAACTTTTCGTATTCTTTTGGTGAAATCAGTTGTTTCATTATGTTATTTTTATTTAATACTTGTTATTGAATATCCTACCGATTTGTACTTGCTACTAGTACATAGCGTTTCAAGGAATAACCGGTGCAATAGGCATAATGTTTCAGTCTAGAGAATGTTGTAGTCTATACCGGCCCATTTCGCCCATTTCTTGTCGCCAATATGTATCCATTGGTAAAAAAATGAGAGAGAGAGAGAGAGAGAGAGAGAGTTCTCTTTGTAATGCCTATAGAATCTAGGTGTGATGCATGTATTTTTCTTTTTCTTGTATACAAATGTATGTGATTTTAAGCCTTTAAAAACTGACAACCAACAACCAGATTTGAACTACTTTCTTCTTAAACCTTCAATAAGTCAAGCCTAAACCATCACACATCCAATTATACAACAATAACACATAAAGGTTCCCAAATATGTAGTGTTATTGTTCACAGTACCAAAAATAACCCTGAATGCCTTGCATTTTCATTCTTAAAACCTTACCCTTATGTTGCTACATATAAACCCTAAAGCTTTTATATGTATGGATACATCTCACTAGCGTGACTGTTGCCTTGGTAGGCAAGAGCTCCAAGTTGAATGAGTCAAAGTATGGAAATTCTGATGTAGCTCGCATAGTGGAGCCAAGCTTGCTTGCTTAGCCATATCTCGCTCTGCAGCACCATGGCTCACCTGGTGCCTTCGCTTGCCGTGGTCCTTCATACCTCATTCTCATAGGGAACACACAGGGTGACTACAAGGCACTCTTCTTAGCTGTAGCATAGTCGGTTCCTTGACTCACTTATGTCTCCCTTATGTGCTCACTCCTAAGCGAAGATCACTCTATTCACTTGGCTACCTAACCTATGAGCAGGGCTTAGGCATCCCTCGTTTGGAATCATTGGAGGATTGTGGATTAGAGGCTAAGATCATAAGTTCGTCAAGGCTATTTGATTGTTTCCTTGGGATGACAAACTCCACCTTAACCAGTCTTAGAGAGAGGGGAGGGAATGTTGACCTTACACTAACACCTACTGCATGCATGATACACTTCTTCAGATACCATACCTACCTTTGCAGCTCCTATGATGTAGCCTTCCCAAGGGCTTGAATCGTAGGGCAACAATAGGGCTGATATCACTATCTTGTTGAGTTGATGAGAGCTCGCCACCTGTCTATAAGTAGCTTCGGCTCCAATACTCTTGGAGTCTATATAACGGTTTCATAAATGTAGCCACAACACATAACAATAACAAGGCAATCATAGTACATAGCAAGATAAGGGCTCTCGCCTATCTTGCACACAACTGCCCAATAACCTAATCAAGGTTCTGAAAAGCGGTTGCGGTCGCCGTAACGGTGGCGGTGACGCGGTTTGTTTCCTTGGGATGACAAACTCCACCTTAACCAGTCTTAGAGAGAGGGGAGGGAATGTTGACCTTACACTAACACCTACTGCATGCATGATACACTTCTTCAGATACCATACCTACCTTTGCAACTCTTATGATGTAGCCTTCCCAAGGGCTTGAATCGTAGGGCAACAATAGGGCTGATATCACTATCTTGTTGAGCTGATGAGAGCTCGCCACCTGTCTATAAGTAGCTTTGGCTCCAATACTCTTGGAGTCTATATAACGGTTTCATAAATGTAGCCACAACACATAACAATAACAAGGCAATCATAGCACATAGCAAGATAAGGGCTCTCGCCTATCTTGCACACAACTGCCCAATAACCTAATTGTTCAAGGCCTGTCACTGCCACCCTCTCTATCTTTAACTTTGAGGTTGCCTTGGTTTTCTTTCTTTTCCACCACCTTGGGTAATCTCGAACTATTGAATTGCTTGTCATCTTCTCATAAATCCACGACTGACCACCTCTAACCTTCCACACCCATATACCCTTGTTTAACCGCAAAAACCAGTTAAAATAAAAAAACAAGAATGCTTACTTTTCTGCTGCGATACTTCCAAATTAGGCTTACTTTTTCCTATATTTGTCCTACACTAAAGCTGCCCATCTATTACCTCTCCTAGACTCTATTGTAAGGGGGAGCCTTGTGTATCGGATATGACTTTATTTAATGTCAAAAGCAATTAAGTTTTGTTTTCTCAACCAATAACACATTAATGTAACCTTCAATTTTTATTTTTTTATTTTTTATATTTATTTAAATAGTGTATCTTAAAATAGCTTTGGATGTGTTGCAGCTCCCCACTATTAGCTAAAGAAGTCAATGAATTGATATTTTAAGCACTAAATTAAAGCCTGTTCTGAACATTTGGAATACCTATATTTTCTATTTGTTTAGCTACTTTATGCATAATTTGCTTACTGAAAGTGGCAACATTTATGCCTTTTGATGTTTGCAGCGACATGAAGACCGTGTAATTATTATAAGCTCTAAAGATAGCGACAACACAATTTCTGATGCGGAAAACGCACTCCATCAAATAGCCAGTTTGATTCTCAAGGTGATGTAATTTCTCAATATGTAATAAAGCTGTGATGTATTTGATGTGTTCAATTACAATGATGTGATGGTTATCATTTTTTTAAAATTGTTATGCACAGTTATCATAATCATACCCATGTTCATTAATGGTGTGAGTTTAACACATCATGCATATGAAAGAAAATGCATATATTTTATCATGCAATCTGTAAAGGCCCCCAGTCAAAGTTGTTGAATGTCTAAGCTATGAGTTTTCATGTATTTGCTAATTTAACAATATATGTGCCTCATTGTCCATCCATTGTAGCATCACAATGAGCAAATGCATGTGATATGCTCCTTGATTTCTTCTTTTTTCTTTTTCTTTTTCTTTCTGAATTTAAATTTATAATGTTTCTAATCTATTCAAATTTGAAACCTCTCCATATATATATATATTTTTCCCCTGTTCTGTGAAACAAGAGGTTATATATTTATATATATTAGTTAATTTTTTCTTCTTACAATTTACTACCCTTAATGGCTAGTCAGTTGTTTTGGTGGAAATTGAATAGCCAAGCTGTCAACCCTGAATTAATTTTTTGTGCACTTGTAGGGTCAGAGCCAAATTTCTTACATTGTGTTTGTGGAATATAATTTAATATTTCATGCGTTTTTAATTGAAACATACCTTATAATGTGGGGCTTTTTGAAAATTTTTGCCATCTTTGTGCTTTTGGCCTTTTAAATGTTGTCTACCACTTAGGCCTCGGTTGATATGCAACACTTTTAGTCTAAAAGCCAAAAAGTTCCTAAAAAAACCAAAAGGCCTGTAACTTATACCAAAAAGTCAAAGATTCCCTTCTCTCTACTTTTTGCACATCTTTTCGTAAAAATAAAAAAGTCATTCCAATCATATTAATTTTTTTACCTCATATTTTAGCCAGAAAATCAAAAAGTTACTAAAATATCATGTTCCCAAACGAGGCCTTAATTGACTCCAATTATAGTGTAAGGACAATGCATCTATAGCTGGCAGTTATTATTCTAGGTCCAAGAAGAACTTAAATTTTTTTGGAAGATACCTATGTAAAGATGCCTGATACTTTGGCTATAAACTGCCCTATATCTTTAAAACAGTACTGAGGGAACAGTAAGAAGATGGGGGATTAAACAATGAAGGGTTTTACGGAAGGTTTAGAAGTCAATTTATAGGGGAATGACTAATTGTCAAAAAATGGGCATGCATTTGCAACATAAAGTATCCCAACAGAGTGCATTAAAGTGTTTCAAACTCTGTGATGTTTTAATCCCCACCGCATTGCTTCTCAATTTTTATATATTGACATGCACTCATTGCATTTATCAAATTGTTGCCAGCCTATATTTCTTGTCATAACTCAACTCTTGTTTGCTTGATTCTGGTGATTCTAAAAAATGTTACCTATGGATCGGTTTTATTTATCCATTTTGTGAGTCCATATATAGCTGATTGGAAGTTAAGTTGCTTACCTTGTCATGGTTGATTGATGGAAAAACATATTGTCTCTGCTCTCATATAGGACGATGATGGAAATCTGGAGGCACTGAAAGTTGGTGCTGGTCATGTAGCTGCAAATACAATAAGGCTTCTGATTGCTGGTTCCCAAGCAGGTGGTTTGATTGGAATATCTGGTCAAAACATTGAGAAACTAAGGATATCCTCTGGTGCCACAATAACAGTGCTTGCTCAAAGTCAATTGCCTTTATGTGCATCTGCACATGAATCTGATCGAGTGGTGCAGGTGAGGATTATTTATTTATTTATTTTTTTCCAGTTATGAACTTAAAGCAAGATTCAAGAGTACAGGTTTTCAAAATTTTATATTTTAATAATTAGTCTTTATATTATGCTTGTTCTGGCTCTGTCACTTATTAGTGGATGAATGATTTGATGGTATTTTAATTGAGGAAGCAAGGAATGAGAACTTATCTGCTGTTTTTTTAATCACAAACCACAATATTTAAGCTGAAAAAACATAAATATATTGATGCTTCTGCATAAACAAAGTAATGGTTGACTGACCTGAATATGCAAGTATCTTGAAGTGTGGTTTAAATTACATATGAAAGGAAGTATATGCTTTGGACTAGTGTCACAAGTACTATTGACTAGTGTCACAAGTACTATTATTTAAATCTGGTATTTTCTGGAAACACAGAATATGACATGCATCTGTCCTCTGCTATCCTGGTTGATGGGCACCAAGGCTAAGGCTTCAGGGATGGAACCTCTTGATGGATCCATCTTCTACATATACATGAAATCCTAATTGTGTGAAATATACTAGTTAAAACATGATTGATTGAATCTATTATAAACCAAATTTAAAAGCACCAAAACGTGGGGAAACATTCATAGTGGCCTTTTACTTTGACATAACATTTATTGTGATGAAAAATATCGTATGTGGATGTGTCACATATTTTTGCTTATATCTGATATTCTTCCAAAAACAATTATATTTCTTCTCCCAGCTGAAATGGAAGTAGTTTTAAAGGACTCCAACCTTGTTGATAAACCATTATTACGCTAAGAAACCCAACTACTCAACAAAGCTAGGTTATTGGCTTGGTAAATAGTAGAACAAGTCAGCAGGCTTGTGGGAGAAAAAGATGAGTTAATGAAATTGACAATATTTTGAATGTGTTCAAAGTTGGTGTAGACGTCCCAGAACGCCCCGGGAGGGTGGAGCTCCCGTTCCGTTCATTTGGGATCACTACAGCTCAAGTCTCTCAAATTTGTCACGGTTCTAAGTCTGAACCAAAGAGTCCAAATCCGGCAAATCGTTTTGAGAAAAACAGATTTTTTGAAAGAAGTGCCAAACATGGACTGCTTTGTCAGATACAGAGTCGCCACCTAAATGTTTTATTTTGGGGGAAATTTAGGAAACCCTGACTCGTTTGCCTAAGGCCACGTGCCCGTCATCACCAAAGTTGCCTCGGCTCGGGAACTTGGGTATGATTGGGGAAGGTCACTTCGTGAGCACCCCCGCTCGCCCGATCAAATATCGGCCTCTACTAACCATGATATCAAGTTTTGAAAACATTGTGTGTTCTTATTTCGGTTATTAGCCTAGATTACTATGTGATGCGCACAACATACAAGTATAGACTGGATCGCCTGAATTGGAACAAAACATTTCAAGTATTTCCATGTTTGTTTTTTGAAAGATGGTTTTGCTACTCGCAGTAGGGCTAAAGACGTGGTATTTGGCCACCACTCGGGTGGGCCTTAGAACATGATTTTTGCACTATACTAGTGGGCTTAAAACACACATTTGAATGAATTGTTTCAATCCAAATAACCCCACCTTCACACCACGGCATTCGCAGGCAAGTTTATCCACATAAAGCAATTTAGCCTCAGTGGCAGTAAGCATCGCTATTCAATGGCAAGTGCACTCACAAACTCGCATGCCAAGGATTGCTAAAGCATAAAAACTTACTTCAGTACTCCAAGCCAAAACAAAAGCCTAATTAAAATACCATGCATGATCCTAAATTTACAGAAATGCCTAAATGCAACAACATGCAAAAAAGTGGCAATTAATAGCAAGGCTCGGCTATTCACTAAACATGATGGCAATATGAAATGCTACAGCTAACATGTATTCAGTTTGGAAATATGAAAACTACAATGCAGTTAGTTATGATGCGCCGAGCCTGGTGCATGCAAAACAGATGATGAATGCAACATGCTATCAATACTGTATGCTAATGAAATATGCCCTAACTAACGCTCCAATAAGCGGATAAATAAAGGGAGAAAGACGTGGGATTGGAAGACATACAACAACACACACGCACACTTATTACAGTTGTGCCTCCGCGCAGAGGGTCCGAATAAATAATAACGGTCGCCAAATGAAAAGAAATAGTACAGTCCAAATATTACGTCCAAATAATGTAGCAAAATTCCTAATTAATACAAATTAACAGTAAGAATAAATATAAACTGGCTGCCACAGCCAGGGATTGCCTTGATTCGCATCGCGGAGATGAAAATGAATGATAGGTCGCGGGTTGCTTCGCGCGGAAACATCCATTCTGCGATGCCCACCATTAGCCCTCGTCTTCGCAATGGCTTTTTTGGAAAGCGAGCGCCAGAGCCTCTCGGAAGACTGCTGATTCTTGATTTTGCTGCAACAGAGAGCAGGAAAGGAGGGGCATAGCGATGTATTTTTCACAAATTGTTAATTGCAATGCCTCGATCCTCGTGCCATCAATTCACGCATATCGATGCATGAATGCCCGAGGAGTCGTAATTCGCACAATTCAAATATAGGATGAATGCACATGAAAACACAACTAAACCTAACTCCATCATGGATAATTCGGAGTGGTCCCCGGTGACTGGGGAATTGAGACACGTTCCGTCACTCGAGTAGCAAATGCACCTCGTTTTCCCGTGCCCAGGGCTAACTCTATCCCCGAACCACGATGCAAAATAATGCATGACATGCATGAAAATGCACTAAGATAACAATCCTAACAATACACAATGTTAATGGAATGGCATACACGTTGCACGAGATAATACAAACCGAGCATACACAATGCTATGGATGAAATGGCATCGCAATGCAATAGATGCCGCTTACACCAACATGAGAGAGCCTCAGCCACACTCACATAGGAGGCCATAAGATGAAAAAGAGAACAATTTCGGAAGTGCATGCACGCGTGCACGCAAACCAAGGACCGAATCCTAACGGCACGGAAATGCCACTCTAGACAAGACATGGCAAAACATTGGAATATGGTAAATATGATCAATTGCAATTTTCAGAGGCAAAAAATAGAGAATGCAAAAAACAGTCCCGAATCATGGCAAAATGATACCCGATGCATGGAACGAGTCCCGAAACATGAATTTTGGCGCATCAAATGGCCTATAGCTAATGTAAATGCATGCATTAGTTGATCATGGAATGTGAAGACAAGATTCAAGGCAGTCCCAAAAATAAGCATGTTTCACAGTTTTAAGCAAGACCAAACAGCAAACTACAAATAGGGCCAAAACTAGCATGCAAAAAATGACCCCTAAAATGTGAGAATGAAGAAGGCAAACTCCAGCTGCTGACGCCCAAACAAATTAGGGCCGCTTCAACAAAGTTGAAAGAAGAGGCCCAAAACAGATCTTTTTACAATTTATGGCAAACCAACAAAAACCAAGCCAGGTATGGCTAAACATCTTCAATGCACAGAATGGGCCAAAACAGAATGGCCAAAGACAGCAAGTGGTGGGTTGTGGCCTTAAATGCAAAGGGGCCCTTCAACAATGTGAAAAGGGGCAAAAATAATGCATTTTACAGTTGATTGGGCCGGACCCAAAACAGTATCAAATCATGTTCAAAATGGCTATGCAAATGGAGGCTCAAAGAGAGATATAAAACACAAAGTATATAAAAGATAGCCTCAAAACGGCATGAAAGACCCTTAATCGAAAAATGAAAGAATGGGTCAAAATAAGACTGTTTTCAGTTCTGAAAAGAGCCGCAAAACAGAGAACACAAATAGGCTTTAATAAATCATGCAAAAATGGGGACAAAAGAGGGGTAATATGACAAGTGGCACATGGAGGTCCAAACAGTGATGAGCTTCCTTCAATGTTTGAAGAAGGGCTCAAATAAGCCTATTACCAGTTTACATCAATGCTCCAAAACAGATCACACATAGGCCAAAAATACTATGCAAGAATTATGGCCATACAAAGGGGTAATGAAGCAAGTGCAAGATGGGGTTTCCCAAACAGGGTAAGACCCTTAATGAAACAGAAAAATGAGCTCAAAAAAAATGATATTTCCAGTTATGGTCGGAACTCAAAATAGCAACAAAAAAGGGGCTTAAGAAAAAACTTGCAAAAATGAGCTAGAAAGAGGAAGAAATCAAACTCAACTGAAGACCAAATAATGCATGCATTGCATAGCTATAGGCCATTTCATGCGGCCAAATTCCATGTTTCGGGACTCGTTCCACTGCATCGGGTATCATTTTTGCATGATTCGGGGCGTGTTTTGCATATCATTTTGCCTCTGAAATTGCATGATCCAATGTGCCATATTCCACATTGTTTTTTGCCAATGTTCTTGTTAGAGTGGCATTCATGCCGTAGGTTGGTCCCTCGGTTTGCGTGTACAGCATCGCATGCACTTCGAGTTGTCGTCATTCTTTATGTCACTTGATGGGGACTGGAGCTTTACTATTGGGTTCTGAAGACGGTTTTGGGGGGGTCAGCACGTGGGTTTGGGGCGGTTGCGGTTTGGCGGGGTGTAAAGGCCGTGATGTAACGGTTGCGGTACCGGAACCGTGAATGTTTTTATTTTTCGCACAATTATGAAAAATAAACTTACCGATTCGCATATTTTTTTCCATGATCATTTATTGGTTAAGAAATAAAATATTGATCAATTTTGTAAAATTTTAAGTATGTGCAATTATTTCATATTTTTAAATTACTATAAAACTGAGGTTTTTTACATTTTTTTAATAATTAATGACTTTTATTATACAAAAATCAATCACTAACTATTATACATAAGATAACAATGACAAAGTAAGAGAATAAATAGAAAAGCTAAATGTATATATATAATATACATAT